GGGTTCACGCTCTTTCCCAACCCACCCACCCTCATCTCAACCTTGGGCAGGGGGTAGGCAAACGTCTATTTTGTCACGAGCTTGCATGCAGGAAGCAAGGCCCCAGTCACACGCGTAACAAGCACCTCTGATCTCGGAAAATGAGGCATTGATGCACACGAAACCTCGGCATAAAAAGTCCATAGGTAAGCATCAAGCCCTCACGCCTCGACCCTAAACCCTTAAACCCCAAACCCTAAACCTTAAACCCTAAACCCTCACTTACTTCCATTCGCAACAGCTCCCCCACGCCAGGCGCCCTGAAACCCTAAGCTCCTGAACTCTCGACTCCTAAACCCGAAATCATCCACCCAGAATCCTAGACCCTGAACCCTATAAACCTTAAGCTCTACACTTTACAACTCCTAATCCCTATCCCCTAATCCCTAAACCCTCATCCCCCTTCTCTGAGGTGATGAGAGTCATGGCGGGCTGGAAAGGCGCACCCGAACTCCTAAACCCTAAACCCTAAACCCGATCTTGTAAATATCCCGTTTAGGGATTCGGACGTATAGCTTTGCAAAGCCTTTGTAGAGTTTCTTGAAAGGGGCGGGTTTAGGGTTTTAGGTTTAAGGGTTTAGGGTGTGTGCAGTAGAAGCCCAGAAGCTGGAAACCCACTGGCCTCAATCCGTAAGAGGAATGTAATGTCGTATAGGGAATACCTGCACGAACCGGTTTCTGTCTGCCCATGCTACTGAGCCGAATTCGCCCAGGATGTCGTGTGAGAACAGTATTTGGGATTTGGTCCCTTGATCCGGTTTCCAACTTTTTTGGGGGTCACTACAGGTTTTAGGGATGTGGGTTTGGAGTCGAGGATTTCGGGTCGATAACTTCGGGTTTAAGGGTTTAGGGTTCCCTGAACATGAGCCCTAAACCCTAAACCCTAAACTCTAAACCCCTAAACCCTGAACCCTAAACCCTAAACCCCCAAACCCTAATCCCTAAACCCTAAACCCTAATACCTAAACCCTAATCCCTGAACCCTAAACCCTAGACCCTAAACCTTAAACCCTAAACCCTAAACCCCTAAACCCTAATCCCTGAACCCCAAACCCAAGCCTTGGCCCCAAAACGCTTAACCCTGTGCCGCTGGTGCAAGCTCGACCCCTTCACTCTTCCACGGTTTAGGGTTTGGGTTTAGTTTTTTTTGTTTTGTTTTTGGGGGGGAGGGGGGTTTGGGTTTAGGGTTTCGGATTTAGGGTTTAGAGTTTAGGTGTCATCCGTGTTATGACGTATGGGCCCTGGACATGTGGCCCCGGGACCTCAGTGGCAGGCTGCCAGGAGAACAGTCTGTCCTCGTCCAGGCAGAATATTCCGCAACAAGTTGGTGTTACAGCCTTCTTGTGACCGGCGGTGGAGGCACAGGCGCAGGAAGTGCCCATCAGGGTGTGGAGGGAGCAGGAGGAGGGCCAGGAGGCACCGGTGGTGGGAACATGGAGGTACATGACTTAGCGGCAGTACAGCTAAAGCGTCCGTGAGGAGGTGCTCATCAATCTCTGGCGGACGAACAGGACTGCTGTCACGGAATACCACCTGCAGGCTGGAAGACAGAGCCAGACTTTCCCATTCGAAGTAGAGACAGCAGCAACTGCCCTGAGAGATCTGGACGAGACATGGCCAGCGCCGATATATGGAATCGGGGCTGCTGGCGACAAGAGCAAGTCGAAACTGGTCTGGGTGTCCAGCAAGGTGGCGACTGCCCCAAGTGTTGAGGGTTTCTGGGTCGGGGCCGTTAATCCCAACCCCTAAACCCTAAACCCCAGACTGTGAACCCTGAAAGAGTGTTGGGGGTTTCGGGGTCGGGGCCTTTAATCCCAATCACCAGCACCCCAAACCACAAACCTTTCATATCCCCCAGCCTGAACCAACCAACCCGGACCCCGTTGTTACCAAATATCCCAACAGGCAGCTCTGTAGAGATTTCGACACCCGAGACCTTACTAAACCGCAACGAAATCTTACCACACCATGAAACCCTTGAAAGCGCCACAAAACACTACAGTTACAAGCACGATCTAGCACTGCCAAACCCGATGAGACCCATAGGCCCGGATCCAATCACCGAAGCCCCAAACACCCTAAACCTTAAACCCGAAACCCTAAACCGCGAAAGCCCTAAATTTCAGCAAGCAGGCTGGGCAGATTTTGAGCCAGTCTTACGCACCGGCGAGCAAGAGGCTAAACTGGGGATTAAGGGTAGGGTTCCCGATCATTCCAGAAGAGCTGTAAGGGGTTCGATGCGGATTTCCTGTCGGTAGGTGGCCACCTTTCTGCACTGGATCAATGATTGTATCAGAAGCTGTTTTTGTGTTTATACAAATGGGCATGACTACGAGCTGTGCCGTTTACTTTCCACATGTGCATCAGGCTGCTACTTCCAACAGGATTCCTTTCCCAGCTTTTTGTGTGAGTCTGTTCCCTTGCTTGTGATCCATGCGGTAGTCCTTATCATGGAAGATTGCCTCAAAGAAGACTGTGGGCGTGGCGTTGAGAATGAGGCAATTAGCTTAGAAATGGAGCCGTTTTCCACTTCCGAATCAGCTGGGACAGATTCTAAGCGTTACTTGCAGTAGAGTTCACAGCCCCAAACCCTGCAAACCAAACACAGGTTCCAAGTCGCATGTGCACCCGTCTCAACATGGATGAGTCCATGAGGACATACTATAGTGGCCTAAACACTCTTGTGGGGGTTAATGATTATCTTTGTAGTATACTATACCCCAAAGCCTTCTTGTGATTATCAAGGCCCCTATATTACATATATTACATACCCTAAACCCTAAACGCTATTCTAGTTATTAAGGCCGCTATATTACTTTCCTTCCAGGGAATACCTCTTAATTCCCAGGCCGTAGCCCTTAAGCCCGCAGCCCATAGCCCGAAAACCCTAATCCCGTAACCGCCTATAACCCAAAAAGGTTTAGGGTTTAGGGTTTTTATCAAAACCGAACAACACCAGGTATAAACCCTAAACCGAATCCTAAACCCTAACCCTAAACCCTAAACCCTAAACCCTAAACCGACGGTATAATCTGGTAGAAGCAAGCAGCGCCCCAGAAGCCCGCGATCAGCTTCGATAGGCCACTGTGATCATCTTCTTCGATGATCTCAACGAGGCAGTTCCTACAGTTTGTGTGGTTGGGTTTAGGTATAATGCTTCTTTTAGGGCATACTGAGGGCTCTTTCAGGGTGTTCGATATTCAGGTTTTGTTCTTCACTGCTTGGGTGTACGTTGTAGGGTTTAGGGTTTAGGGTTTAGGGTTTAGGGTTTAGGGTTTTGTATGGTTTTTACCGGGTCTTGGAGTTTCAGATTACAATTTGTACTTGTCGTAGGGCCATCTGCCAGGCTGCGGTGATAGGTCTGCTGGGTTCCAGGGGCATTTGCTCGGCTTAAGAACTGCGGTCCCGAAACCCTAAGCCCTAAGCCCTAAACCCTAAACCCTGAACCCTAAGCCCTAAACCCTAAACCCTAAACCCTAAACCCTAAGCCGCCTCGACTGGCACGGTTTTACTACGTATCGTTTCGGGCTTCCTGGAAAAAAACGTGGCTTCCTAAAGATCCCTTTCAAGGGCATATACGAGGGAGCCACAATACTTGCACCCCAACCCTCCACCGCCGAAAAGCCACGGTTTAGGGTGTATATATATATATATATATAGGGTTTAGGGCCTAGGGTTTAGGGTCTAGGGTTTAGGGTTTAAGGTAAACCTTAAACCTTAAAAGCCCTGAACCCTAAACCTGAAACCCTAAAAGCCCTAAACCCTAAAAGCCCTAAACCCTAGAGGCCTTAAGCCCTAAAAGCCCTAAACCCTAAAAGCCCTATACCCTAAAAGCCTTAAACCCCTAAAAGCCCTAAACCCTAAACCTTAAACCCTAAAAGCCCTAAACCCCAAACCTTAAACCCCCTAAAAGCCCTAAGCCCCAAAGGGGCACTCAGTCTGTCTTCTCTTCATTGCGGCGCTGAGAGCTTCGACCCGCGACCTGTCACCTGACGCCCTAACCCCAAAGCCCCAAGCTCAGAACCCTTATTAGGGTTTAGGGTTTAGGGTTTAGGGGTTTAGGGTTTAGGGTTTAGGGGTGTAGGGTTTAGGGTTTAGGGTAGAGGGTTGAAGGTTTAGGGTAATTGTACACTCTAAACTCTAAGGTGTAGCCCTTAGCATCCAAATAGCCCAAGAGCCTTTTAGAATAGGGGCTTTGGGCCCAAAAGCCTTAACATATGAGTCCTATCAGGGTGAGGGTGAGCTCTAAACCCAACGACAGACAGCCTGTCTGAAAGATTAAAAATGTACAATCCTATGATGCATCCCTGTGACCCAGTCATGAAACCACGAAACCACATGTAGACAAACTCCCAGACGCTCCAAGCACCTTCATGAGCCGTATAAGCAGTTAGAAGTTAGAAAAAACACCCTAGGCAAGCCTTCACACAGCCCCCCCCCAAGAGCACCAAGCTCAGGGTTTAGGGTTTTGGGTTTTAGGGTTTTGGGGTTAGGGTCTGGGGTTTACTAAACCCCAGACCCTAAACCCTAAACCCTAAAACCCTAAACCCTAAACTTTAGGGTTTAGGGTTTAGGGTTTTACAAAGCCCCGTGGGAGGTCAACTCGATCTCACCGACAGCCGGCTCTACGCCTGGTGGAGCCACCGTGGCTTCGCGGCACTTTCAGAATGCGACATGTGGGTAGGGTTTAGGGTTTAGGGTTTAGGGTTTAGGGTTTGGAGAACTCTAAATTTGGGTCCCTTTTAGGGTCCTTTTTATAAGGGTGCCGTATTATATTGGGGACCTAAAATTGGGACGGTAATTTAGAGAACTACCCATGTGGTTTTCTGGGCGTTTGGGTTTTCCAGAGTCCTGGACTTTAAACCCTAAGCCCTACACCCTAAACCCCATGTTAAGTTAGACGGTTTTGTCATCACGGGGATTTAGGAGGTTGCAGAGGGTTCCACAGGGGTGTCATCAAGCATTAGCCAGAGAGCCCAAGAACATTTACACAAGGAAGATTGCTTAAATCCTAATATGAAGCCCCTTATGATTTAAGCTATATTCCTTAACTAAGCTGTATTGGGCTCTCTGGGACCCTAAACCCTAAACCCATAAACCCTAAACCCTAAAACCCTAAACCCTAAACCCTAAAATCCTAAACCCTAAACCCTAAACCCCCAAAAAGGATACTTATATCTTTGCTTTCTTTCGGGGAGGTTCGGAGGGTGCGAAGGCTGCGGGAGCCCAAGCCTTGAACCGAGAGGTTTGGGAGCTTCTGGTTTCTGGTCTAGAAGAGTTCTGTGGCGCTCATGCAGGTTCGAAGCTCGTTCCTGCCTCACTGCGACCCACTTGTGCACCGTCACGTTTCCTGATGCGAAAGGTGTTCACGTGAAGATGCTTAGGGCGAAGTTCCGTGATCATCGATGCTGGAAACATCACGTCGAGCCAGAGGATGGAGCTCGTCGCCTCCTTCACGGGTGGTGTTCTACCGGATGTGGTCGGATGGCTGTGGGGTGATGGTCTCGTGAGTTCGGTTAAGCCGTCCCGCCGCGTCACTAGAAAGTCTGCCCCTTCTCACGTGACACTCCGAAAGTACTTCTTGTATCCGGAGGAGTGAGCTCAGCTCCATGTATAGACCATGCATGCACATGGAGCGAAATTTTGGGGGAGGCCATCTAGGGTTTGGGGTTTAGGGGTTTGGGGTTTAGGGTTTAGGGTTTAGGGTTTGGGGTTTGGGAGTTTCTGGTTTAGAAAGGGTTCTGGGGTGCGTTTAGGGTTCAGGGCTTGGGGTTTAGGGGCTTGGGGTTTAGGGCTTGGGGTTTGGGAGTTTCTGGTTTAGAAAGGGTTCTGGGGTGCGTTTAGGATTTAGGATTTAGGGTTTAGGGTTTAGGGGCTTGCGGTTTAGGGTTTAGGGTTGGGGGTTTAGGGTTTAGGGTTTGGGGTTTAGGGTTTAGGGGTGTGTATACAGGGTTTGGGATTTAGGGTTTAGGGGCATCTAAGCTTGAGTTTTGGGGTTTAGGGTTCCGGGGTCTGGGGTTGAGGAGGGGGATAGTCAATAGCACCAGGAAGCTCAAACTATCAGGCCGGAGCTCTCCTTCCAGGCTTCCTTCAGCGTTAGGGTTTAGGGTTTAGGGTTTAGGGTTTAGGGTTTAGGGTTTAGGGTTTAGGGTTTAGGGTTTAGGGTTTAGGGTTTAGGGTTTAGGGTTTAGGCTGCTGAGTGTTTTTGTAGGTCTTATTTAGGGTTGTAGGATCCAACACCAGGGCTTTCGTAGCTGCATCCACGGTACTACTGTTGATGACATACATCCTGCATTACCTTAAGGACCTTAAACTATGGGAATTCTGGTATATTCCTTACTATTACGTATTACTATGAGTACTGCAGGACTTATATCATCAGCCGTATGATCCCTCTTTCAGCCCTAAGCGGAGCCAGGGCTTGCAGGGTGTAGGTTCTATCCCACTCAGTACCAAGACCCCCTCAAGTACCCTTTAATGGAGCCCTTGTGGTCCTTCATAGTGGGTTTTTACGGTATGTGAGAGGGTAATTAGTCGGGAGGTTTAAGTAGGGCTCCTTGTTTCAATTCTACGAGGTTTTGATGTTCCCCAACATCCGCTTCTAAGTTTTAAGGCCCCTATAACCCTAAACCCTAAACCCTATGTTGGACGCTAGGCCGCAGACTTTCATTGAGACCTGACTTGCTCCGTCGCGGACCAAAGCGGCCAGAAGTCGGCCTGCAGATTGCTTTTGCGTCATAGCGCTCCCCAGAGGGCCCAATACAGCTCAATGAAGGACTATAGCTAAACCCTAAACCCTAAACCCTAAACCCTAAATCCTAAACCCTAAACCCTAAACCCTAAACCCCTAAACCCTAAACCCCTAAACCCTAAACCCTAAACCTAAACCGCGTCATATTAGGATTTAAGCTTTATTCCTTATTTAAGGGGTATTGGTCTCTCTGGGTCTCCGTAGCGTCCGATATAGGCTTAAGGTAAGGTGTGAATATGTTGGAAGGAGTTTAGGTTGCTGTGCTGCCCATGCGGCTATGAGGTAGCAGCAGGAAGAGCAAGAAGAAGCGGATGGTACTGTTAAGGCCCTAAACCCTAAACCCTAAACCCTCTTGATGCGAGCCTGTACCGCGAGGTCAAGCTCACCGGCAAGGGCTTCCGTCTGCCTGGCATTTCGACAGCAGTGATGTGGTGCCTTCCGGTTTTTTTGTGCTGTGCCACGCTGTTTAGGGAGGGGGGGTTAGGGTTAGGGCCATGGCATAGGCCTTGTGGTTGAGAGTTTAGCGTTTGGGGCGCAGGGCTTTGGGTTGCGAGTTTAGGTTCAGTACTTCTGGACAAAAGGTGGAGGCAAAGGGCTGCTTGTTCGAGATTTCCGTTTCTGGTTTGATGGCTGGATGAGGCAGCACAGGTATGAGCGTAGCGATCACGAGAGCTTGAACAAGAACTGCAGCGCGTAGTCTCGACCACATTGTTGACGTGAAAGCCAAACTCCACAGTAAGGATGCTGACGAGCACGACCATGAAGACGACGAGGACGAGTGGGAACCAGAAGCATGATGACTACGACGATGACGACCAGCAGCAGCAGCAACTGCAGCAGCAAAATCAGCGTCATCGCGACGCAAGAACTCACACGAAGAATAGCATAAACTCCCACAAAATATTGCAGAATCAGCTTCGGCAGTCGGTTACTGCCATGGTTGCAGGCTGGCAGCATACTCAGGAATGCAGTGTGGCGACCCTACCGGCGTGGTATTTGCTATAGGGGGCCCTAATAATTACCAATACTATTATCGGTGTTTCTTTTTGTGATTATAGTATGATGGGCCCCAAACCCTATTCTATTTGTTACGGCCCCTATATTACATACCCTAAACCCTCAACCCTAGCCCCTTAAACCCTAAACCCTTAACGCCTAAACCCCCAACCCTAAACCCTAAACCCTGAACCTCTAAACCCCTGAACCCCTAAACCCCTAAACCCTAAACCCGAAACCCCAAACCCCAAAAGCCTAAACCCTAAGCCCCTAAGCCCTAACCCTAAACCGTAAACCCTAAACCCTAAACCCTAAACCCTAAACCCTAAACCCTAAAGCCATAAACCCCTAAACCCCTAAACC